ACACACACACACACACACACACACACACACAGACCAGCGTCACCTGTCGGGGCAGTTTGTCCTTAACCCCACCCCCACAAGAGGCTGACGACCTTATCACAACTCACACACATTAAGAGTTCACACGATACAAGTGACTGATTATTATTATTCATAATTAGAGACTAAATGTCTTGTGTTACTGGAAGCAAATGATTCCATTTTGATAATGTGTCAATTATTTGAATAATAAAAAAAGGGAAAATACCAAAATATTCCAGTTCTGACATTTTATCTTTACGTTTATTTAAGATGAGATGAGATAAGATCAGTGATCTTATATTAGTTCCACAATGAGGACGTGTTACAGCAGCTAAGAGGAAAGTAAAACAAAGTAAAACAAAGTGACGTCCCCCCCCCCTGTACGCAGCCTCAGCCGCAGGACGAGTCCATCGAGAAAGTGATTAAAGACACCGAGTGTCTGTTCAAGTCCAGGGAGAAGGACTATCAGGACACTATCGACCAGATCGAGGTGAGGAGGACATTAGTGTTCACGGTGACAGAGCGTAGCAGCTTTGATCGGATATTAACAATCACACATCAATAATCTGAGTAACAATATGAATATCCATCACGTTGTTCACGTCTCGTGCAGTTGGATCTGGCCACAGCCAAGAGCGACATGAACCGTCACCTGCACGAGTACATGGAGATGTGTTCAATGAAAAGAGGCCTGGACGTCCAGATGGAGACGTGCAGGAGGCTGATCACACAGAGCGGAGACAGGTCACACACACACACACACACACACACACACACACACACACACATAAAACCATGTGAACTGATGCACTGGGAGGAAGATTTTGATGATTAATGGAAAACAACAATCAATTCAATGTAAATATGACATTTTATTCTAATTGTTCTTTAAGTTCTTTAAACATAGAAAGTTTGATCTGTTGAAAATGAGGGATTAATGACTGACTTTCATCAGCAGGTGGCGTCACAGAGTTGTTTCAGAACTCTTTTTGTCTTCGATGAGACTTTGACAGATTGAGAATTAATCCCTGAGGGAGAGGTAGAAAAAAAAAAAAGTTTCACAACGTTAAAGGACGATAAAAAAATCCCTGGATCAATGTTTCCGTGTCTGAAAGGTTCTAGTGATGTTTTCATTGTGTTTCATCTAAACATTAGGAATTGTTGTTTTCTTTACCCTAGAATGTAATAGAACATTTAACTACTTCATATTAAAATACTTTACATTTTACTACTTTATATTTAAATACTTTACATTTAACTACTTTATATTTAAGTACTTTATATTATACTATATCGGGAGCGGGTCCATGTTTTTTACACGACCACACAGTTTCAGGAGTTTTCAGCTTCACCACTAGATGTCACTAAATTCCACACACTGATCTTTTAAAACATCCACAAACAAATCAGCTTCAGATCCAGGTTGCCTTCATACTACGTCCCGTGGTACAACAGAAATATGTTTTTCAACCACATCACAGTGAATCTCCCTCTTCTTCTCTCTCCTCTGACAGGAAGTCCACCTCGCTCGTCCCCCTGACAGTGGACGACATCGATGAGAAGGAGACGAAGAAGCCGGCTCTGCCCGCCAACCCGGAGAGCGGCGACTCTTACCGCGATGCCAATGCCGCCATCCCTCCTCTGGCCTGGAGGAAACCCTGACATGCGCCGCCGGTTCTCTGTCATCACTTCCCACCGATCATCTTCTCGTACCCTCGAGCTGCTTGAGGAAAACTTTGATTCTACGTCCAGGTGTGTTTCTTTCGCTGAGTTGAAATCAGCAGATCAACTTTAATCTTCTCTGAAAACATCTTCAGCAGAAGATTTGGAACAAAAGGTGGATTTGTGTCTCAGGCGGCTGGAAACTTCTACCGACGTCCTGAAGGACGAACGTAATTTGCTCATGAGGTTTATTCAAAAACAGAAAAAAGAAACAATCGCTGAGTTCTGTTTGTTTTCCTGCACGACGACATCATCAGGACGAATTTTCTTTTAGTTTCCACCTCTGACTTTAAATGAATATGGCCGACACGACAGCTTCCAAAAGTGAAGCCAACGCTTCTTGATCGCCCCCTGGTGGCTGACTACAGTATGGGTCGTTAACCTCCATGTTAGCAGGCGGGACATGGACTGAACTAAAAACTCAAAGTAGTCGTTGAATGTTTGTCAGAGATGGTTTCGATCTTATCTCGCCGATGTTTGTTCCAGTGTTTCTGATCCGTTTGGTTTGAATCAGTTGTCGATGATATAAAAAGGGCTCATGATTGACAGCTGAGACTGACTCCTGATTGGACGATCACTACTGCACAGACTCTGACTCCAAAGGACACAAGATGGCGGCGTTTGTATCCAACATATTCTGGCTTCATTTTTGTGCGACTGGAGGAAGTGGAGACGCCTCGTCCGTCTTTATTTGCAGTTAAAGTCTCATCTCGCTGTTCAGTTGCACAATTTCTGCAAAGATGCCTTTTTTAAAGACGGAGCACAGACGGGAGGAAACGCACAAAGAAGGTTTGCACATGATGAAATGTTCATTATAAGAGTTAAGACGTATTTATTACATGAACCGTTGATTTCCACTTATTATAGCGAGAAGTTTATTTTGCTTCTGTATTTTCGTGTTGCACGTATGGTAGAAGCTCTACCTTCACTCTCTGGGTCTGGACTGTCGCTGCACTGACAACATGACGGTGAGAAGTGAATTTAATCAAAGTCCCAACAAGCCTTAAATAAATATCCAACATTTGGGGACATCGTCTCTGATGAACAGATAAATGTCCTGAAATCCTATTAAAAGGTTAAATCCCCCTATTTTCTATAAGATGTCACAGTCCACAATAGAAACCATCAAACCTTATTTTTAAGATTAAAGATTAGATTGATTTCTGAAACAACGCTCGAGCCTGAAGCCGAGAACGTGCTCTGTATTGTTTGTGGAAATTTGCTGTTTTATTGGCCTGAGTTAGACTTTGATGCTCTACAGGTCCAGAGAAATGATCCTTAAAGTTCTAATATTCAGAGTCAAAATCACTAAATACAACTCACAGAAAATATTCACAATAATGAGAACAAGTAAGTTGAATAGACTTTTTTGTTGGTGTCCAGCCGGAAGCCTTCTTAGAGACGCGAGATCGCAATGAGGGAATTTGGACAAGTTGAAAAATCCTGACTTCACTGACATTATGATTTACATTATTATATTATATATATTCAACCGTCACACATTAAAAGATTCTAAGTTTTTCAACCCTGAGACTGTCCACA